AAACTTTTAAATGTTCTCTAAAATTAGCACATGCTTATTTGACAAGTGATGATGGCATTTTACAGTGACTGTAGAAATAGTCTAAAAAGTTTTGCTCGAGACTGAAGCATTATAGTCACTTGTTCTTTATTAAAGATGCAAATGTGAATAACCATAAAATAACTAGACTAAAGGTTCTGGACTCAAGAATCTATAACTTATAACCCAAAGCCAAAAAGACATTTTCTCAAAATGTAAAGGATAGGGTAACTCATACAAATGGTTTTGAGCTCTTGTTTTACAACAAATTTCACAATGCTTATCAAATATTATAAATTTAAGCATAAAATAAACAATATTTATTATTTATATTATAGCAATTCCTAATTTTCTTAATTCATCTGTGTAGGCATCCTTATGTTCATGCACACCCAAGAACCTAAAATGAGAAAATACATCTGGAAAAAGCTCTTAATGGACAAAAAAAAAACCCTTCAACCTAGAATCCTATACACAGAGAAAACATATTTAAAAAAATCAAAGGTGAAACAAAGACTTATTCAAATATACAAAGCTGAAAGAATTCACCACCAGCAGATCTGGTGATAGAATGATAAAAGACATCCGTCAGGCAGAAGAGTAATGCTGAGTGAAAACAAGTATCTCACAAAGGAGTAGAGAACGCGGGGAACAGAAGACAGGGAAGCTACAAAGCATTCCATGCAACACGAAGGGTGGCAACAGATATTTAGCTGGATTTGCTCTCCAAAATCAGAGACCAGCGTAAGAAAGAGATATCTCACAATTCAAATGCAGGTCTCTGATCCTACATAATTCTCCCTGCCTGCCTTAATACAGAGAGCATTAAGAAGGTAAAGAGAGCTCCATATTAGTTGATTATTATTTTCATTAAAAGGATATTAATTAAAATTTTTTTCTCATTTCAAAGTGATATTCATTAAAGAAAGGATCTAAAAATCTGATACACAATTAAAACAAGGAAATTAAAGCCACCTTTAAATTAGAAAAGAGGGAGAAAGGGAGAGAAGTCCCACAGCTTTTGCTATTTAATATGAAGGGCATTTCAATTTACCTTTTTAGAGGTAAGTTGTATGGTGATTAACGTGGAGACAAACTCAAGAAACTATAAAAATGAGCAGAAGGAGGAGGAGAGGCAATAAATGACTGAACAGGGGTGAGAGGAATAAATAATACTAGTTACAAAAAAGGGCACCAGCTCAGGGTGACTGCAACCAAGGACTGACCCCACAACCCAGAAGGTCATGAACCAGCAGCGCATTCACCATGTAAGTGGTTACTATGGTAGGGAAAAGAATTTTGGCATCTGATACCCACTTTGCTTGAATTTTTTACCCTGAGAGAGGGCAACTGTTAGATGCAACTTTATAAAAGTAGTAACTGATAATCTCTTTCAAATCTTGGCTCATAATTAAAAGAGCAGAAAAGAAGGGATGAGTCCTGGTGGTAAAAATTAACTGGATAGTTTCTCTGCATCAGACCATCACAGAGTAGAAAGATTACAGATAACACACGCTTTCCAAAATTTTTCCAAAATAGCAGAGGAAATACCTGTTTATCCCTGGATATACTGTCTACTGGAATGTGGAAGGTAGCTGGCCACTTTGTTAAAATGGCCTGTGTATATTCATAACATTATTGCAGCAAAAATTAATGTTAATAACTTAATATTATTTTAATAAAAATTTAGAACAAAGTGTAAATGGCTATCATGCCACTCGGCTAAATTACCAGTTACCCTCTAAATTATAAGGCAAAGTAGCACACTAAAAGAGAGAGAAAAGAACAGAAAAGGAAAATGTTAGATCTCAAGAGTAAATGTCTTGAAAGCAACTGAAACACAGGTATTCACTTATTCAACAAATATTTACTGAGCATCTCCTACATTTCAGGTGTCATATGAAATGATACAAACAGACATGAAGACAAATTCAGAATGTTAAGATATCATATTGAATAGTAAGGGAGACCCAAAACTTTTTAACTATACTAGATACTCAGGAGATAAATATCCATGGTAAATTTCTAAAACTACTCAAAATATGATTAGTTTCTGAGACATTAGGAAGGGGTAAAAACATCACAATAAAAAAGGCTTCTTGTATTAGGGGTGGTAAGGGAAGAGGAGGGAGAAAAGAATTTTCTCTATATATCTGTTTATTTGACATACCTTGAAGGAAGTTGAACCAAATCTGAAATAACACTGACATAATTTTCTTAAGGAACAGTTATTAAGAAGCTAGAAAGCTATAAGCTATAAAGCTATAATATAGCAAGCTAGAGAGCCATAATACAGACTCAGTCTTTTAAAGCTAAAAGGAACATCTAACCTGAAACTTTGATTTGTTCACAACTGATGAGTTCGGAAGAGTAACTTTCCCCAGGCCACATGGTGATTATTTTAGTTGCAGTTTAAACTATATATAAAGTATCACATATTCTATATAGGAAAATTAAATATTCCATATTTGCTGAAATAGAAACACAGACTAGAGCCATTCAACCCTTTGGTGTATATTAATTCTAAATTTCTTGAGAGAGAGAAAGAGGAAAAAAGAGAGAGAGAGATGGGAGTGAGGTGGGAGAGAGATGAAAAGAATGGAAAACGTATCCGCATAAGAATGGCATTATACTTAACATACTGTTTTGTAAATCCTTAATATATTTCTATATCAGTAAGTAAAAATAACTTTCTATATCAGTAAGCATACAATATATTTCTATATCATTAAGTATACATGTATTGACTGGAGACAGCAGCCAAAATGTTCCTTTTGTAATTTTTTTACACTGATAACTTTTAAATAGTAAATTTTAAATGCTATACAAATGAGTACACCTTTAATGGTGGAGATAAGTATAATAATTTAAAAGATGTGAACACTTCCATAGACATAATAATGTGACTACTTATTTTCAAATATATATATATATACACACATATGTGTGTATATATATATATACAGGTCACATGATCCCAAAGAGTCTTCTCATTTCATTACCTTTAGCTGTCTTTTTTAAACTTATTCACTGAGGCATTTATTAAGTATCTATATAACAACAGCAGGATTACTGTACTAGATAAATATTCATTTAGAAGGTTTGAGGAAATGCACACTGGGACGGGTAAAGCAAAGTTCTCATATCAGTGTCAATATTAAAACTACACAGGAGAAAACATCAGTAAACAGGTTAACATAAAAGAAACCTAATTTTTAAAATGAGTGACGGAAAAACAAACAGTTCTGAGTTTAAAAAACAGGAATTGACTAAACTGATTGATAACAAATTTTCTTTTTTTCTTGAATGAATTGCCTTCTCACTATTTTAATGGTGTCTTTTGGTGAACAAGAGTACTTAATTTTATTCATTTATTTTTGGTCACTCAGCATGTAGGATGCTAGTGTCTATCCTGGGACTGAACCTGCACCCACGTTGGAAGGGCGGAGTTTTAACCGCTGGACCACCAGAGAAGACCTCAGATTTTCTACTTTTTTTGTCTTTAAGTCAATTTGTGTTTCAGTTTGGCTTTGGGGCCCATTTACTTAAGAGAGGTGATTGATAATAATTAATATTGTTTGAATATTAACAATAAGAATTATTCCCTAACACTTTAGAATGATTTATATTTTTCATGAAACATTAAGAAAAGAGACACAGATTTTTGCAAACAAACTTTAACTCACTTGGAAGAAAGATTCTAAATTAATAATAGGAAATACTACTACCATAACAAAATATAATACTTTATGGGAATATCTTATTTCACAGGGAAGCCTGGCATGCTGCAGTCCATGGGATTGCAAAGAGTTAGACACGACTTAGCAACTGAACAGCAACAAGTATAGAATCCATTTAAAGAGCAAAGAAATTATTTCCTTCACCACTTTGAAAAGGAGCAAGACAATAAATTATTTTTAAACACAAAATATTAATAGCCCACTTTCTTTGTTTTAAGTATAACACCTAGTAGTCAGCTGAAGATTCACTCAAAACACTCATTTCAGACCTTTTTTGTTCAAGTGTTATGGGAATACAAATAGGGATACTGGTAAGATGTGATCGCTAACCACATAGAAAGAGATAATAATGAAGGTGTGGCTTCCTATTTAAATAAATCAATTTAGTTCCTCTTGGGAAACATCTTCGGATATCAATATGTTCTTAGAATTACAAAAGAAATACTAATACTATTGGTTTCACTGGAGATTCACAAATGATTTTCAACATCAAAGCCAGTTATTAATATTTAATTTTCCAAAAAAAAAGATGATATTTCATTGATTTTGGCACTCATATTTTTGAATCTACTTTTATTTCTACTGCCAATCCTCTGGATCATCCCCAATTTGATGCATCAGTAACTAAGTAAGGTTTAATTAAAATCTTTAAAGATACTTATAACTCATGATGATGAAAGCTCAGACAAAATATGAACATCTGATTCTCTGGTGTGTATCCAATTATCCCAAGAGGATGTTTAACCCTCTCCAAGAGATTCCACAGGTCTAGATGGCACTCAAGAACCAATGTTTTTAGACAACACATTTATCTCCACAATCACCATCATTGCAGAATCCAAGTTCCTATTCTCTCTCTTACTGCTGTCATTTTCAGAAGTGCCAGAACTACAATCATTTGTCTTGATATTTTTCAAGTGAAACTATATGCTGATCTCCATAGTACATATTGTTAAATGATGTATACCATGTTTCTGATCACTGTCCACTAGCTAGACAGATGAATGGATATATACAGAGGAAGACAGATATACATAACAGACCCATCCACCTGTTTATCTAATATAAAGAAATATATTCTGACAACAAATCACAAAGTAATTCAAACGTCTTAACATTTTCCACATCTGAGACACACTCTGAAATTCTGTTCTAAAAAATCAAAAGAAAGTTACCAATGAAAGAAATTCCCAGAAACATTTCCCAGAAGATTTTAGATGTTAACAACAGTAGCTGGTTTACCTGCCATCTCGCTGAGCAGCACCACCTTCTGTCACTGTCTTGACAAATATTCCCAGCTTTTCAAGGCCTGCATCTGCTCCAACACCCATTCCAATAATACTTATGCCAAGTCCATCCTCATCTATGAAAAAGGAAAAAAGTGAACAACCTTAATTTTACACTCATCCATAATTAGCTTCTGAGATCTATTTGCTGCATTTAATTTTGTTCTTTGTGAACCATACTGACATGTTTGCTTTGACAGAATTTTATCCTATGCTGGGGAGCAAGGATGTTAAATAAGATCCCTTAAAAGGCTCGTTAGTTTTTTTTCATTTTACTATTGCAGTTGGCTATTCATTGTGATCCCTGGAAAAGGTAATAACTTGATTATTGAGCAATCAATCTATCTGAAAACACGGCCTAACTAAATAATACAATATTTTTAAGCACAGAGCACACATACTCACACATATATGTATGTTTGAGTATATAATTTTAAATTAACATGATTATAATACATCTGGAATTTTTCATCTATTTATGTGGTCTTCTTTTTCTTTTTTAACTTGGGCCACATACCCATCCATGTTAATAAGATGGTAAGTATCTCTCAATATTTTCCTCTGTTCTACTACACAAGCATATAAACATATGATCAGATAAAATATACACATATATGTGCATATAATTGAATATACATATTATATAGTGTTTAATTTTCCTTCTTAGTTCCTTTACACAAACAAGATCATATTATACCTACTTCTCTCTGCAGTTTATTTTTCTGATCCAATGATAAGATATCACCTTATATAGCCTTAAATCACTTATAATGCATAACAGTTCATGGTGAGAAGGTGTCATCATTTATCCAACCATTTCTCTACAAACAGGCGTTCACTTCTGTTTCCATTTTATTGGACCTTTGAACAATATTGACAACCACATTTTTAAATTCAGATACAATTCTCCTTTCTGTGAACACATATATTTTAACATTAATGATATTTATTAAAAGAGACACTATTTGCATTCCACATTTTTTGGTTAACATCCAAAGTTGTTTTCTGATAGCCTCAAGGTCTCCATAATAATGGTGCATTAGCTGAATAAAAATAGATATTAACTAATCAACTGTGTTGGATTGTTAAAAAAAAAAAAACTGGCTCAGGTGCTCAATAGAATGTTTCATGCTTTTAAAAGACTCTTTAGCAATAACTTTTAATTTGCTAAGTATTCCCAGCTAGTAATTTTTTGAATAGGGTTCATCTCATTGATTATTACTTATTACTAGCTCTGTTTTAAGTATTTTTAAGTACAACTCAATCCTACATCTTTAGTCTACATATGTTTAAAAATATGTCATTTAGCAAAAGTGCTATGTCTTTGCTCAGTTGTGTGCTAAAGAAAGCTAGTATAGAGCTTGATGTGCCAGCTGAAGGCACATCTACATTGATTCCAGGCGTAGGTACCTGTCCAGTGTGAGAACTGTTGACTAAATGAGTGATTACTGGAGACCTTCCTTCATTCCTTACATTTAGAATATTTGCACACATCATTTTCCGTATTTATTACTTTTTAATTGTTTCCCTGGTATAAGTATTCATATTCATCAAGAGGTATTCTCTTTCTAAAAATGTCCCTACATTCACTATAGCTTTGCAGTTTCTCCCTAGAACGAGGTTTCTTATGCACATGAAGGTCAGGTCTGTGCTGAAAGCTCTTCCTCATTGGTTATGTGTATACAGCTGCTTCTTTCACACAGATTCTCTTATGTGTATAAAGGTTAGCTGTATTGCAGAATTACTGCACATACTTATCACTTTCATAGGATTTCTCTAGAGTGTGAATGTTTATATTTACGAAGGGATTAATAATGCCCAAAAGCCTTCCCAGTGTTTACATTCAGTGAGTTTGCTCTTGTGTTGTTTAAGAGATGATCGCTGTAGACTTTTCCACATTGAATAATGTTGCAGGGCTTCTCTTTTGTATGAAATCTTTAGTGAATATTAAGTATTAGGGGGAATTCTTGTTCATATTCACTGTATTTATAGAACTTTTGTTCATTACAAATCACCACATGTCAAGCCAACGTTAAGTTCCCACACTCAGCATACTCAAAGGGCTCCTCTCAAATGTGGATTCTCTGTACTAACATGCCATTTAATAGCTTCTTCCAACAAATACCCTGCATAAAAATTACATCTTAGTTTTTAAATCCATTTTCTCTGCCTGGACTCAGGTTTTAGTAAACTCATCTCCCTTCCTTTCATAGCTCCTCTTGACGCTCTAACTGGAAAATTATGCAGTCTTGCAAAGATGAAAATGCAACTGTGGGCAAAGCAGTATGTTGGCTTGAGCCACCCTCAACTCATGCAGACCACCTGAAAGACATGGTGACAACTGAAAGAAAACTAAAGGAAGCGTACAATCAACCCAGAGATGAGTTGACTGATTTCATCTCTGTGCAGCTTCTCTGAGATGGCAAGCATGGGTGAAGGCTGGAGCCACACACTCGAAGGCTTTGATTCCTGTGGTTGCACCATCAAGAACCCAGCAGACACCCTGTCTTCCTTATTCTACTAGGAACAGGCAGAGCACAAAGTATGCAAAACATCCAGGAAAAGATGAAAAAGACTCGAGGCTATGTTAGGAAGATGCTGTCACCACCTTCTGGAGCTCAGAGCTTATTTTCTCTACCAGGAAAAAAACCTCATGTTGGTTCAGCAATCCCCTCACTGCTACTGAGGTTTGAGCTAGTATTCATAGGAATGTCTAAAGAAAAGTCCCAATTTTTCTAATGAGTTTTGCCTGTCTCTTTTGTCCTGACAATTTACAAAGACTCTTAGAATATTACAGCGATTAACTCCATGTCATCTATAACGAATATTTCCCCTCCTAAATATATCACTTATCTGTTGGCTTTGTTTGACAATTTTACCTTTAAAAGTTTAAAATTTTGAATGAGTGAATTGGTCCATCTTTCTTCTATAATTTCTGATTTTCCAAACGGTTAAGCCCCTCCTCCCAGAAGCCCAGATGTAGATATACATTTTCATCAAATATCTTTGTTTTTTAATATTTTATTATTTAATTCATGTAGTTTACCTTTATATATGATATAATGAAAATGAAGTTTTCCCAACTTAATATTCTTTCAGATAGATGCTCAGTTATGCCAGAACAATTTGTAAAGTACCCTGTTACTCCTAAATTAGAGTTCTTATGTCAAGTTATTAAATTTTCATGCACACTAACATCACTCTCTGAACCTTGTATTTTATTTCACTGATCAACTGCTGTATGATTACAATTTGTTCTAATTATCGAGGGTTTACATTACATTCAGATATTTGGAAAATTAAATTCTTTTACTTTCTTTCTCATATTTCTCTGAGGTCTGTAGTTTTCCATGTAAAATTTAGTATGGTATTATGTTATCCCCTCTCCCAATGTAACTGATGACAGTTCTATTTGAATTGCATTAAATTTATATATTACTTTATCAGATAGAAGATACCTATCAGATATAGGAGAGACTTTCCTATACTGAGTCTTCCCATCCAAGAATGCTAAATATCTATTTGCTTAGATCCTGTATCTTTAATCAAGACCTCAGTCAGGATCCCATATCTTTAATGGGCTTCTCTGGGGGCTCAGCTGGTGAAGAAGCCGCCTGCCGTGCAGGAGACCTGGGTTCGATGCCTCAGTTGGGAGGATCCCCTGGAGAATGGAATGGTTACCCACTCCAGTATTTTGGCCAGGAGAATTCCATGGGATCACAAAGAGTCGGGCACGACTGAGCAACTTCCACTTTCACTTCTGTATCTTTAATAGCCAAGGTACAACCTTTATAGCGTTAGTAGCTGTAAGACAACAATGACACATCACCTCACACCTGGTACAGTGACTGCCATCAAAAAGACAGAGAGATAACAAGTGCTGGGAAGGATGAAGAGGAACAAGACTTCTTGTGCACTATTGGTGGGAATGTAAATTGCTGGAGACACTATGGAAAACAGTATGGAAGCTCTTCAAAAATTAAAATAACTGTACTTCATTTAGCTCTCTTCTAGTTTAATTTTTCTAGTTTAACTTTTATTAAGAAATATAGCATACAAACAAGAATGAATAAAAATATTTATCTATAAAATACTGTATGGTATTGTATAAAATACAAACAAGGACAGAACATTACCAATAGCCCCAAAGACCACTATGTACGCTCTCTGAAATCGTAACTCTCCATGGTAACCACTACCCTAAACATGGTGTTAACTGTTCCCTCCTTTGCTACTACTAGCAAGGTTAACTGCTACCTCCTTTAAAAAGTAGTGTTAGTATTGAAACACTAATTAGTGTTAAAATACTACTTTTTGAAGTCATTTATCTGTGTACCTCTGAATAATATGCTGTTTAATTTTTCCTGGCTTTGAAATTTAAGTAAATGGAATTGTACTGAAGGGCTTATTCTGTGATTTGCTTCCCACCCCACTACACACAATTTCATGTTTGTAAGGATCATAACACACTGCTCTGTGGAACTGTGGCTTCTTCATTTTTACTCCTGAGTAATACTTTATGGAACAGATATGCTACAATTTAAATACCCTTTTCTATCATTGATGAATATTCAGACTGTTCTCATTTTTGCTATTAAAAGCAATACAATGGCCCACAGCCAAATCCAGCTGCCTTTATATGGGCCATAGTTAAGAATGGTTTTTACATTTTTAAACAAGTGAAAAGTATAAGCCTCACTCATACATTCTCTTTAACCTTAAATGAAACGGTCTTTAAACAGAAACAATTATTAGTCAATCATGTTAAGTGCAATAATTGGTATGTTTTATATTTTTTCATCCAAGCAACTTTACACTTAACACTTACATATTAAGCAATACTTACATTTCAACTCTTTTTCCCTCACATTTTCAGTTTTGGACAAGCTGTTCTTTCTTTCTTTCACCACCACCCCCCCCTCGCTAATTGGGTATTATGAAGGAGAGGTGCTCTTTAAATCTTTCAGTCACTCCAGTTCAGTCGCTCATTCGTGTCTGACTCTTTGTGACCCCATGAATCGCAGCACGCCAGGTCTCCCTGTCCATCACCAACTCCCGGAGTTTACTCAAACCCATGCCCATCGAGTCGGTGATGCCATCCGCCATCTCATCCTCTGTTGTCCCCTTCTCCTCCTGCCCCCCATCCCTCCCAGCATCAGGGTCTTTTTCAGTGAGTCTACTCTCCGCATCAGGTGGCCAAAGTATTGGAGTTTCAGCTTCAGCATCAGTCCTTCCAATGAACACCCAGGACTCATCTCCTTCAGGATGGACTGGTTGGATCTCCTTGCAGTCCCAGGGACTCTCAAGAGTCTTCTCCAACACCATAGTTCAAAAGCATCAATTCTTCGGTGCTCAGCTTTCTTCACAGTCCAGCTTTAAATCTTTAAATACTAGCAAATTTCTTTCTTTCATCAGGACAGGCAAATTCCCCCTGGGGTGAATACAGGGTCTTGAATCATTTTCCTTTTTATTCCCACTGGTATGTGCAATGATCCCTATGCCCCCTACTCCCAGTGTTGCCTGATGCTGGTCTAATAATTTTACGTCCGTAAGCACATTTGCTTCTTTGTTTGCTTTGATTTTGGCCTGGTATTTTATAAGATTTTTACTTTATGTTTGTGATTAGAATTTTCCCAGGCTATGTCTGAGTATGGGAATTTTTTAAATTCCTCTCACTTGGAACAAATTGGCTAAGACCTTTCAAATATGAGGTGCAGATATTTTTGAGCTGTCAATTTCTTCTATTTTGTGCAATATGTATCTTATCCTGTACTGTCTTTTCTCCTTCTATTACAATTTTTATATTTGGTCTCTCTCATGGTTTTTTTTTTTTATTTTTTACTCTGTCATTTGAGAATTACTTTGGGACATTTCTTATGCTTAATCGGTTACATCACCAATTTGAGTCTCAGCAATAACCATCCTTTCCTCTTCAACGCCTCTACTGAAATTTTAAATTTTAAAATAAATATTTTTGCTGTTTTGTTAATTTGCTTAAGATGTCATTTTAAAGCCATGCTTGAATATCTTTATTTTCATTTATTTCTTTTTTGTTGTTTGTCATCTGTTTGTTCTGCTTTTTTCCAAAGCTCTCTGAGATGTGCTGTTTTTCTGTTCACTAGGTCTTAGGTCAGTTCCCAGGTATGACTTGTGAAGATAAACACAGCAGGTTCTGGACCCATAGGTCCTCAGCTACTCAGCAGGCAGGCTGCGGTTCCTGGGAGGAATCAGGAGAAAGCCCCTGTCTTGTCCTCCCTACTTTCCTTTAGATTTCTCCCCTCAGAGATGAAGAGGACGTCACTGCCTTCATTCCAAAATCCATTATTTCCTAAAGGTTCAGTACTCCCATAGCTACTACATTCAGCATCTAACCATGACCACTCTCCCTCCACCAAAAAACCCCAAACAACGGCCTAGCACAGGCTCTCACTCACAGCAGCTCTCCCTAGACTCTTCATATGCACCCGTGGTTTGCAGGAATACAAAAAAACGTCAGACCTCATTCATACTTCCCTACTCCTAGTCAAAAATCCAGCCAACTAAAGTAGATGAGTTTCAAGAGGGGTGGTAAGGGAAGAGTCTTTCAATATACCATCTATACAGAATTCATATAAACTGTTTTTGAAATTTAAAAAATAAAACCCTCCATGAGAATGAAAACTTTCTCCAATCCTTAGGGGGAAAAAAGGCTATACTTAGGGAAAATAAAGTCATTTCTAGACTATTAAAATACCAGCATAACATTAACATTGCAGAGCTCATATACCTTTTTCTAGTTCCACTGGGAAAAGTTCCAGCTTTTCTACCCGTTTTTCAAGTTCATACTCAGCCGAAGCAGCTACAGGGTCAACTTCATCATTCCTCCTGTCATAGTCTTCGTTGGAGTATGTGCTGAAGACCTGTAATAAGATGTCAACAATAAGATGAAAATCCAGAAAAGACAGCTTTCTTAATTAAAAAAAAAAATCTAAGTATCCAAAACTACATAAGTTAAAAATTTTGTATGAAGAATTTCTTCTAAACAACTGTTTTGTCATCAAATCAATAGAGATGTTAAGAAAAGGAAAACTGAATCAGAATAAAAGTAACTCACTAATTTAAAAAATGTACCACTTTTAATAATTTGAGAGACAACAGTAGCCAACAGCTAATCATTATATGGTTATCAATATTATCACCTTTAACAGAATCAGGGTATACCATATTAACTGCAATAAAACTAAGGTAAAGCATCTAGAGCATGCTACTAGAGCAAACACCCACACTGAATCCATTTCATGCTATGACCTGTAAAAGCCCTGGTGTTGTAGTGTGCTGGAACTAGAATTATATTTGAAACACAGAATCACTGAAACTGACTTATATTCTATACTGTACCAGGCTGTGTTAAGCTCTCATTTGTCATCTCTCATTTTACTTGCATGCAAATATAAATTAAATTCTCACTGAACATTTTAATGAAATGACTATCAAAATATTGCTCAAGATCTGCAAAACAAACAGACTACTGGTAGGTCTTTCTTCCTGACCTAAGTCATTCAAAAGATCATTATATGTGGTCTTCCAATGCAGCCACAAGAAACTTACTGTCCTTATTTCTGCTGAAGTATCTGATTTATTTTAAAAGCAACTGGAAGTTGGTATATAGTCCCTCACTTAATACATTGAAGAATGTTTAAAAGAAAGAAATATAAAATTCATCAAACCAAATTAATTTGCATGATAAAAACGGTTCAATTAAATTCAACAGTTAGGAAGTATTCAAACAGTGCCTGACAAAACTCTATCATGTCCTCCAAAATTAAAAATCTCAGAGTGACCAGTTTTTTGAAAAATATACATAAAAAGTCATAATAAATGTAGAAAGCAGGACTGAATGTCAGAGATAGAAGAAATCAAGTCTATTGTCTATAAAAGTTGGCCCTGCTAGTTCAGATGTGCTTTACATTCATATTACTGGAAAACTGGCAGCTCTTACATGCTATATATGGTAATCTATAAACCAGAAATACATATTGGATACATAGAAACAGATGTAGTGTGGTTCCTAATTCTACATATTTCTCAAAATCATGTCATTTATTTTTTGTTCCTGACTTTCAACATGTTTTCATAGCTATGTACCATTCAGAGATGGTCTCCACCACATTTCTCCACCACAATAAACATTTCTGCATCAAAGGGAACACTTCTAGACTAGGGGGTTTGTATCTTTTAAATTAATCTTTTCACAAAATATGCTTCCTATGCCCCTTCCATAGAACCTTCTAGTGTTTTTTGTAAAATGTCAGGTTTATTACTTTCTCTTAGACAGCCTTTTTGATCTTTTACTTCTCTTATATGTTTTGGTAATCATTAATTCATATATATTCATGCATCAAAAAATTATACAGTACCAGCTTTATGCCAGACATTATGGTAGACACAGAAGAAGGCATAATCTCAAGAAGCTCACAGTTTAGTAGGGACACAGAAATAAAAATAAACAACTACCATATATGTTATAACTGATATAACAAAGGAATGTACCAAGCAATTTTTTTTATGGTTCAGAAAAAGGGAAGAATTCCATGGAAGGGGAATTATCTGAGCCGAATCCTAAAGAATAAACCAGGATTCATATATTCAAATGTAGAAGAGGTAAAATGTATATTTCAAATATAAGACACTAGAAAAAAATCTGTATCTTTTGGAAAACATGGACAATTGAATGGATCACAAAATAGCATGCCTACAGAAACAAACTTTAATAACACACACAAAAAAGTAACTGGATCTGGAACATACATGTCCTGAAAACTACTGGCAGTGGTGACTAGAAATTATTTCATTAATGTCTGCCACTCTACTTCTGCTAATAGGTTCAATTATATGATTGCTAAACAAGGATTCAAATGATATTCATACTAAACATAATACTCCTGCATTTAATTTGTGAATAAAAGAACATATATGTATTTTTATATATGTGTACGTGTGAGTGTATACAGTGGAAGTGAGATATAGATTTAAGGGACTAGATCTGATAGACAGAGTGCCTGATGAACTACGGATGGAGGTTCATGATATTGTACAGGAGACAGGGATCAAGACCATCCTCAAGAAAAAGAAATGCAAAAAAGCAAAATGGCTATCTGAGAGGCCTCACAAATAGCTGTGAAAAGAAGAGAAGAGAAAAGCAAAGGAGAAAAGGAAAGATACACCCATTTGAATGCAGAGTTCCAAAGAATACAACCAACCTAGACAGCATATTAAAAAGCAGAGACATTACTTTGTCCACAAAGGTCCGTCTAGTCAAGGCTATGATTTTTCCAGTAGTCAAGTATGGATGTGAGAGTTGGGACTATAAAGAAAGCTGAATGCAGAAGAATTGATGCTTTTGAACTGTGGCGTTGGAGAAGACTCTTGAGAGTCCCTTGGACTGCAAGGAGATCAACCAGTCCATCCTAAAGGAGATCAGTCCTGGGTGTTCATTGGAAGGACAGATGTTGAAGCTGAAACTCCAATACTTTGGCCACCTGATGGGAAGAGCTGACTCATTGGAAAAGACCCTGATGCTGGGAAAGATTGAGGGCGGGAGGAGAAGGGGACGACGGGTGAGGATGGACGACAGGATGAGATGGTTGGATGGCATCACCAGCTCAATGAACATGGGTTTGGGTGGACTCCAGGAGTTGGTGACGGACAGGGAGGCCTGGGTGTGCTGCGGTTCATGGGGTCCCAAAGAGTTGGACATGACAGAGCAACTGAACTGAACTGAACTGTGTGTATATACAGACACACCTTCTAGCAAATATTCTTTCCCAATAAGGCTGGTTTATAAAGTTCATTTAGGGATATCCCAAAATTAAATAAAACAAACAGAAAACTAACTATATAACTACAGATTGGAAAATGATATTTTAAATAATGTTTGAGGCATATATCAATCAGATGACCATATCACCATTTCATTCTGTAGAGAACAAATAATATAATATACTTTTCATCCTCAGCTTAATCATTGTCTGGTATATTTTGTGGGCACATAAGCAAACCCTTATAAATACATGAAAAAAAAAAGGCCAGAACTCATTATTTGCGAATTAAGCTTGTGTTTACCTGGAAAATCCAAGAGGTTAAACAGAAAATTTTAGAACTAACAAGAGTTCAGTGATTTCTACATTCCCTCAATCAAGTAAAAAAAATCATTCTCTTAAACTTATACAAGCCAAACTTGGGCTATTGCTACTACAAATGAAGAGGACAATTACAAGAAAAGTAAGTGTGTTTCTAGAAATGTAGTTCCCTAACTATTATATCTGTGATAATTTATCATACAACCTCAAATTTATTGTGAGACCTACAGATAGAAAATACTAATGTCATTTCAAAGAAATAAAACAATGTTGTCTTGCCTTTGGGAAAAAAGAGTTCAGTGAAAACAGAATTTGAAAACTAACCAGAAAATCCATAGTAATTTTAGAAAATGTAATAGACAAGATCAGAAATTATAAAATATTCAAGAATTAGTGATCATAAATGTGCAAGGATATCCTTATCTATAAAACATAACTGAAAATTTTAAAAAGCCTGAGTAAGTGTAATGCCATGCTATATTCTTGGATTAAAATCCTTAATATTATAAAATCATCTATGATCCTAAACTATTGTTAATGTCTGTTTGCCCCAATTTAATTTATGAATACAGGGCAATCAAAATTGAAATTCCACTAACATTATTCCTGGAAACTAGCAAGCTGCTTGCGAACAAAGAATAAGAATGGAAACAGACCTTATCAGATATCAGAAGATATAATAAAACCTCATTTATTAAGGCAATATACTTTGACCAAAGACAGATCTATTTCTGTACTTTCCGTTTCACTCCTGTACCTTTCTATTCAAATTAGTTTGGGAGATCTATTCAAAAAATAGTAGGGAAAGAATGAGATATCCTCTTGAGGAGAAAAATTCCTATTTCATATGATTAACAAAAGTAAACTTTACATTGGCTAAGAACAAAAAAATTATAAATTATTAAACTGCTCAAGTTCAAACTGCCGAACAATTACATTCATTTCTCACGCTAGTAAGGTTATACTCAACGCCCTTCAAGTTAGGCTTCAGCAGCACGTGTGGCAAGAACTTCCAGTTGTAGAAGCTGGGTTTAGAAAAGGTAGAGGAACCGGGAACAAACTGTCAACATTTGCTGGATGACAGAGTAAGCAAAGGAATTCCAGAAAAACAATCATTTCTGCTTCATCGACTATGAGAAAGTCTTCGACTACGTGGATCATAACAAACCATGGAAAATCCGTAAAACAGATGGGAATATCAGACCACCTTGCCTGTTTCCTGAGAAACCTGTATGCGGGGCAAGAAGCAACAGTTAGAACCTTCCATTGAACAAATGACTGGTCAAGACTGGGAAAGGACTAAGACAAGACTGTATATTGTCACTCTGCTTATTTCACTTTTAAGCAGAGTTCATCATGAGAAATGCCAGGCTGGATGAGCCACAAGCTGAAATCAAGATTGCTGGGAGAAATCTCAACAGCTTCGGATATGCAGGTGATACCATTCTAATGGCAGAGAAGAGGAACTAAAGAGACTCTCAATGAGGGTAAAAGAGGAGAGTGAAAAAGCTGGCTTAAAACTCAACATTAAAAAAACTAAAATCATAGCATTTGGTCCCATCATTTCACAGTAAATAGATGGGGAGAAAGTGGAAACAGTGACATATTTTCTTTTCTTAAGCTCCAAGGTCATTGCAGATGGTAACTGCAACCATGAAATTAAAAGATGCTTGCTTCACGGAAGGAAAACTATGACAAAACTAGACAGTATTAGAAAGCAAAGACATCACTATGCTGACAAAGGTTCCATCTAGTCAAAGCCATTGTTTTTCCAGTGGTCA